CGATTATGGGCCAAAATTAGTAGCGTGGGACACAAGGTTAATAAAAAAAATATACAACCCGTGTCGAGGATGATCCAGACGACGCGTTTTCACATCACAATAAACATTAATATCATACGACATTGTAAGTCTAACCAAGATAGTGATTTGGAGGGAATTTTTTATTCAATATTCTCAAATATTAATAATTCTCAAATATAAACGGACCAAGGATATTAGATAAAATGTCACCATCAAAGAACTGAAGAGGAAATTCACATTAGAGAATCAGAGAGTTAAATCAGTTTGGTTGTTGCAGTGGACAGTGTACTCTGAAATGAAAGTTCGTAGACGTTGATCTGAAATGTCGACAACTTATGAAAACGATACTCTCACTTTCATAAAGATTAAAACAATAAATACTAGAATTGGAAAATTGGACAGAACTTAATTAAGTAAAATTAAAAGTTATATATAAGACGCATTAAACAGCCTCTTTTCTTTATTATTTGTTCAGTTACCAAATGACACTGCACTGGGGGATGCCTTACAAAGTGCCCGTGATACACTCCCTAATCGTTCAAAAAGAAAACAAGGAAAAAACACCATCTTAGATTGAACTGGATCTTCCTAAATAGCTTTACATTTCATTTAGAATATTTGAGAGAACCTATAACAAACTGAAAAATAAAATTATCCCAATAAAAATATAATGAAATGAGATATATTATTTTCACGTGTTAGATGCACTGCCGAGTACACAATAAAAAGCAATTTAAACAAGACATCAAACATCTCAACAAAAACAAGGGAGAATTTACAAAATATTGGTAAATGTAAGTGATTTTGAAAAGTAAAAAAAATCACAGTAAATAATTCTACAGTATTTTGCGTTTTTCTTAGATACACTGTTTTTACTGAGTAGTTTCAAGTAATAAGATATCTATCCCGATTTGTAGGTAAACTATCAACACCTGTGAGTATACTAATTTGGACCCCCACTTCCACAATAAAATACAAAAGAAGAAGAAGAAGAAGACGAAAAAAGGAAAATAAAAATAAAATGAAAAAGGAAATGAAAATGAAGAAGAAGAAGAAGAAGAAGAAGAAGAAGAAGAAGAAGAAGAAGAAGAAGAAGAAGAAAATGAAACAGAAGAAAAAGAGGAAGAAGAATTAATATGCATCCTACAGACAACAAATATTTAGCAAACATTTACCTGGCCCAAACATTTAGCCATGATTGCTTATCCACAGATTCATTAGATTAATAATTTCTCTTCAGTAGAAACTTTTAACAAATAGGTTTTTCTAACAAAATTTCTTTATCATTATGAACTCGCGCATATTTTCATACTCGCATACGTCTCGAATAGTAAATCGTCGAAAATCGACGATGTGTAATTTTGTTTAGTATCCTATGAAAACATGTTCAGCATTTTCGAAAGCAACTATTGCACCTGTTGGGTAGTAGTAAGCCCTATTTGGCGCCTACTTAAAAATATAAATTGTTTTTCATAACCATTACTTTCAATTTAATTTTCTTCTGGTACAATATTCCACTATAGGCAGGAATTCCCATTCTTTGCTCCCGCAAAATATTTTTCCATTTACAAATGGCGTACCTTTCGGTGGCAATTGTAGTGCACAAACATGAATATCATCACACTGACTTCGTTCCACAACATTTCTATCGCCAAGTTAGAGTATCGCCGTTAGAGTATTATTAATCAAGTTAAAAAGGAGTAATGAAGAGTAATGAGTAAAAATAATACAGACCTTCATTTGTTTCATAATGTACGTCCAGTTCTTTCACACGAAATTACGAGTGTTGATGTAGAATTGCTTCTTATTCATTTCTTTCAAACGTTATAGAAATTATTACATAAACTTGCACAATTTACAATCATGTTTACAATAGATTATAAGATCTGATTGAAATAGTTTCGTCGAATTGAAAGTACTAGACAGAATAATAATTAACAGACGAAGTACTTAACCGACAAGAATTCTGAGATGACATCGGGAAACTAACCGAAATCTTGCGGGCCGTCTGCTTACTTTCTAGTGTCCAATGCTGCGATTGGATAATCGTGATCTAATCGAAACAATTGCCAACCTGAAAGTAATAAATAGTTATAAAAGAGTATATAATTTAAATAAACACGAGTCAGGTTGTGAAGAAAAATGAAGCATCATCTTCTGTTCCTAGCCAAGCAAATCAAATTTTGTCGTTCTCTCTCAGAAAATCTCTCGTTAATCTCTCGGAAAATTCAGTAATTGTCCTTGAAGTGTTTGGGTCCGTGTAGAGTTTGTTATTGAATGTGCTAATAGTTCTAGCTTCTAACAGTTTCTTACTCATCAGTATCATCTTTAAGAAGAATTTCAAATGAATTTATTTATACGCAGATTAGCAGGAGGTATCATTACTAAGGCATTAGAAGGAGAAATCTATAAAAATTTATAGCTGGTAGACTAGTTTCTTCACGTTTGTCTGTGAAAATAGAAGTATTAATGTCATGCATAAAAATACTGCGACAATTACGACCCAACAACTCATTAAATCCATTGGAAAATAAGTTGAAATATTAATAATCCGTTTATGATATTGAATTTATCTCCCAACGACAGTAAGATTAGTGAAAAGTAGATTGTAATTTATGAAAACACTTGTTCATAGACCCTCAACTCAATGGTCACAGAACGGAAGATTTAACGTAGTTTTGACCTGCGCTCTATCTGTTAGCGGCATACAGAACTACCATTCACCTCCCAACAGATTTCGCTAGTGACAACGAACGGCAGACGCGGAGACCAAGCTAAGTTACAAATGCAAGGTGCGATTCGCAGCCGCATGGTTGGAAAAGAAGGGGGTAGACACATGGGGGCGCCCTGAGCAGGCCCTGAGGTCGATGATACTGAAATATGTTCCTCTGACAAAGAATTTGTAATGCGTAGTGGATATCAGCATAGAGACTCTACGGATTGTAGATGAGAGGAAATGGGAAGGACATTGTACACTATGTCTTAATATCAGCAAACGTGCGGGGAGTCGTTTGAAGCCAAAGTTGTTAAATAAAATTCATATTAACCCTCCCAAAGCATGAAAAATTTAAACTATCTGTCCAGCGTAACTGTTAAAGATAATGGTTTTGTATGCCTACTTCACAAGATAACAATTAACACTGCATGATAAAGTGTTTCGAAGATAGGCCTAGTAGAAAAGGTACTTTTCTTTAAGGAAGAGTTCCTAGAATTACCACATTAGGAATACAAAGGAGAATGGCATGTAGCATTATAGGACCATAATCATTTTAATCATTTATTATAAAAGCGAAATTTATTAAAATTGATTTCAATAATTTTCATATTACACGTTCTTCATACACTGTTTAATGACTAGATCATAATTACTTCACATTTCAAAATCTATGTGAAATAATTTGCCATAAGCATAGAAGATGAAAAAAATAAAACTACTACAATGAAGTATTTAGCAACATGAATTAAAATGTTGATTTGTCTCTTAAAAAGTCATCTTGAAACAACAAAGAGGGAAGACATGATTTCTTCATTTTCATATTTATCACATACAACTGCATACTACCTCAACTATAAAGCAAGAACATGACTAGCTGATCTATAAGGTGGAGGTGTGTAGGATTTTTATTTTAACATGGAATATTTACAATTTTTTTATATATTAAGTAAATACTATGAATTTTAAAACCATTTTCCTTGGGATATGTAACTCCTATAGGTTAAAACAGTCTCATTGCATTACCTTTGTTCATTAGTGTTCATAAACTGTAATTTTGTGTTCACAAGGCTTTCCTCGTTTTAAAGCTACAAGGATGTCTAAGGTGCTGTGAATGTGTCCTGTAATACTGATAATTAACCTCCAAGAATAGATTCTGAATTGTCTCAAAAAAATAAAAACATATATTCCATTTGAATAAGACATATGCACTATTTAAAGGAATGTTTTAATTTAATTACAATGACCAGAAATTAAAGTTAAGCAAGTTAATTTCAATGACCAGAAATTAAAAGTCGAATAATTTCTCTTAAAAAATATTCATTAATGAAGGTTTACTTTTGATGCTAACATGACTAATGCATGTTTTCACAAAAAGACAATAGATATTCTAACATTTATCGCACATAAAGATGTACAACATTATGTTTTCATTTAGAATACATATGGATACCTTTCATTCACTTGAATTCACACTATTTTTAATATTAATTTGTAAGAAGAGTAACAGTTGTACTTGATCATTGCTTTACAGAATATTCAACACATTTATGGAATATCAGTTAACAAGGATTATTTGATGGCCATATTTCTTTTAGTTTTACATTTTTTTCTCCGTCATTGCGTAAATAGAGCCTACTATATTGTTTTTTTAGCCAATTCCTACTTAATTTAAATTCTCATTATTGCACGTCCTCATTTATGAATCTTTTCTGAATGGAAAGTATTACTTAATGAATGGATTGTAGGCCATATTAATATTAATGCTGTAAAAAAAATATATATAACTATGTTTATAAAAATATTACAAAATATTTTGTCAGAAGGTTAATTCAATACTGGTTTGTTGATTTTGCTTTCACAATCAACCACATGCAGGAGCTCTGTTATGTTATGAGAATAATACAAGCTTCCATAATATACAGGCCTGTCTAGTTCTGATTTGATACTTTAAAACAGTTACTATCATTTACAAGTTGTGACTAGAGGATGGATTGGAGAAATAATAATCGATAAGCAATTTTAGAAATCCTGAAATTCAGATAATAATTGCACTAGACTCTCAGGGCCAGAGTTCTGCAACAAAGAGACATCAAGCACATTAGAAATCAGTGATGGTAAATTGCATTAATGATATGACTGTGGACATGACCATAAAATAATAGGAATAATATAAAGTATTATTTTGATGAAATTGCTTGATATAGTATAGTTTAAAAATATTGGAATTGAAATACCTGTAATGGTTATTGTGCAGGATACTTACTTGATCATAATTGCCCCATCTGTTACTGACTTCTGTGGAATTTTCTTTGTTGGGATCAGGACTCGCTGGAAACTGGAAAGATATTTGATATTTTTAAGGTTAGACGTAATATTTTTTGATAATAGCTTAAAGTAATTTGTTGTCCTAAATGTTCATTTACAAAAGCAAAGGTATTGAAAAATATAAATTAAAATATAACTTGACTGTTCCTTTAAATTCCTGTCATTAAAGATGAGTGTCATTAGATTTATTCAGTAAAAAAATTGTTAAAGTTGTATGTGACTTAGGGGGGAGAAGATTATCTGCGCACATATTCTGCAGTTCCAGAATCCCTTCCCATCATTTTAACTATAAATAGTTGAAAGATGAGTAAAACAAAAATAAATAAATATAAATTTTAAAAATCGGAAGTTTAGCGATATTTGAAAAGTAGTCATTTTCATCTCAAGTTTCCGTTTAGACTGAATAATTCTAAACAACCTGAAACAAGCATTGTACCTCAGCTTCTGGGTCAATGATCCTATCTCTATCATGTTTTTCAACCAGCTTCCCTGATCCCTTGAGCAAATGCTGAGATGCCCCTCGTTTTGCTTCTGGACATAAATGTGACTTCATTATCTGTGCATGTCTTCTAGAGTTCAATGGGAAAAATAGTTATTCAAATTATCATTGTTACAGCAGTTTTTCACATTACTGTTGTTTCAGAAGAAGAAAATTCCTTCACAAAGGACATGATGAAGGATAAGAACCCAAATCTATAGCTGATTTGCTTTTAAAAATAGATTTTATTACATGGAGCGAATATTTTGTTAACAATTCTTGCCAAAAACGCTCATTTCTTTCTATATTCAATATTCAACTTGTCTATGTTTTAGGGCAGAATCCAATAATTCAGAAAACGTGCACAGAATACACTTCTCCCTAGCATGTCACACTTGGTTTTTAACTGTTTTCGACGTGAAAAAATCAGCCTTTTACTTTCTACGCGCATCCCACCTGGTTGCTGGGGTGTAGGGCTGTCTGGCGGAGGAGCTTCTGCAACTGTTGGATGTATTCGATGGCCGACTGCAGGGTCTTCACCTTGCTCACCCGCTTCCCCCTTAAAGCAAATGCTAAATACAGAATCTTAGGAAGGGTGTATGATGAGGGCGATATTCAAGTAACATTCAACCGAGCCTCATGTTCAGGTGTCTCAGAAAGGTTACAAACTTGCAGGATTTACAGGGATCAAAAACTACACTTTTTGCCAACAAATAGGCGGTAGTTGAAAATTTCATATACCTGAGTTACACATGTGTCATTTTCCCGTGATTGTTAGGAAATCCCACATACAGAGGTGTTCGGCAGGCGTATGAAATCTCCTTGTATGTGTCAGAACGTTACCTGCTAAACTTTTGTGCATAAGAAGTCCGTACAGGTGCCCCCAATAGCAATTTTAGCATGGAGATTTCACCTCCCCCAAACAACTAGGTATATGTATTCTTCAATATACAATTTTTTTGGTCGGTGGGACGTAAGTTTTGTGGATGCTCCTCTCGATAGTAGGGATGGCGCAATAAGTCCTAATTGTAGAAATACCAAATTAAAGTATGTTTGGATATTCTGAGTGATTGATTTGCAAGGATTTAAAACTGCTTCTTATTAACGTTTAGCAATGTTCACCCGAGCACATACATTACCAGGATAATGATATGACGCCCAATTCAGGGTCATGCCGTGCGAAGTTGGGTTCCAGTATGAAGCTATTTAACTTTTAAGACAATTATTGAAAAAGGGCCTAGTATGTACAGGGGTGCAGCAAGTATTACATCCCTTCTTCTTCTTCTTCTTCTTCTTCTTCTTCTTCTTCTTCTTCTTTTTCTTCTTCTTCTTCTTTTTCTTCTTCTTCTTCTTCAAATGAGTTATCTACGGATTCTAAAAGAACATGTCTAGTTGTCCGTAAGGTCCTTAACCCCAGAAATACGAAGGGGGCGCAAGGAGCCCACCACAATGATATTGCTTTCAGTTCACTTGATTCATGTGCTCTACGTTATTGAGAATTAATGTAATTCATGAGGCACTTTCAGTCTTCTTTTTTCGCAACAATGGCAGAAGATATGTGTATCACTTCTTTTTATATTTGCGTTTTTCTCGTGTGGGTTCGATAAACTCTTTTCATAGAATATGAAGTGTTTCCGTAGTGCATTTAGTGGTTGTATCATTTTCCCCCTTTCATCTGTATAGGAACATTTTGTTTATTTGCTTTGGATATGTTGTCAACATTAATTCTTTTTCGAAAACTCCCCTGAATAGAAAAGGCGGCAAGAGACCGACTATTTTTCAGTTTATTCGCTGAAGATGTCAGAAATGTTGGCTGAATGGGAAAGAGAAGAATGGTTGTAGAGTATAATGATTAATATTAAGATTAAAAATGGATTCTGTGAAGGAAGTTGTATTTCTAAGTGTTCAGTAAATATAAGACTAGAACATATGCCAGCATGGAAAGAAATTCAAAGTCGATTAGGAAAACCTACATATTTCGGCAGAGCGAATCACATGCACACAATTCAGACAAGAATTCAGAAAACGGGCGTTGTCAAATATTCATTCGCGAATCGAACTATTAGAGACTGGAACGGTTTGCCTGTGACAATCTTCGATCCCTT